CTCCGCTCCGTGCCGGCACCTCGGCGCTGCTCAGCCCGGGGGTGCCCCCCGCTCCGCAAAGTTTCATGTGCAGCCTCCGGAGAGAAATCCCAGCGGAGGTTCAGGAGTTTGATTTAATTTTGCTGAAGGAATTAAATTAAAAAAAAAAAAAAAAAAAGCTCCGTAGCACAAAAAAAGCGGCGGCGGCTGGGGAGCGGAGGGAGGCTCGCAGCGGAGCGTGGGGTGGGTTTTGTGTGTGGCTGCTGCGGGAGGCTCTGAGGTGGATCTATGGACAGGGGGTCCGGTTTCAGGAGAGGGAGCTGCAGGGAAGAAAAGCCAGATGATAGAATTTCCTGCCGCTGCTGTTGAGGGGCTTCTCTCCACGCTGGATCTGAAGGACGGAGATTTTTACGAGAAGAGTTTTGTGTTGTGTGTAAATAAAGCAGGTTTTAATGGTGCAGAGGGTTTCAATGTTTAGAGCTTCTTGATGCTTTTGAGGAGAACCTGGAAAGTATAAATGCATTTGGTTTACTGTGGAACGTTAATGGAAGCTATCGGACTGTTAAAAGGAATTAGAAGTGGGCAATAGCGATGTGAAGCGGTCCCTTGCTAATGAGAAGAAATAAGGCAAGGGAGATAAAAGAAGTCTGGGAAGGCAGAAGAGCTGTTCCACATATTCAGTCACAAAGAGGACATGGTGCAGCCATGTTTGATGGTGGAGCATGGAGCAAACCTGCCGGGGCTGGGAGGGCTGGTACCCGCGGGCAGGAGGCTGTGGAGCAGCACTCCTCTGAGTGCTGGGACATGAAACACCTTGGGACAAATCTGTGCTCGGGAGGAGGGGAGAGGGGGAAACGGAAACGGTGTTTTGAATGAAGTCAAGAATAAGTGCAGAGGGTCATCTGGATTGTAAAGCACTGCAAGATTCTCTCCTGTGGTTATGTGTTTGTGGCTGGTAACCGTTGCGGGTTGAGATGAAAATATATCTGAGCTTTTGAGCTGGCTGTTGTAGAAATGGTTATTTTAGATGTGCTAATTGCTGTCCTTTCTGGGTGCATTCCTGGCCCGCTCTGGCAGGCAGTTCAGTATCCCGTTTTGCTGTGACATTGGAGTCATGTTTTAGCCAGATCTATGCAGGAAATTAGGGAGCAACTGCTGACCGGGAGAGGTTATTTTGGTGTGTTTTTATATGTCATAGAAAGAAAGGTGATAAATGCTGGTGAAATAGTGTAGAGATTGATTCATCAGTATATGGCCAGGTCTGCTGCATGGGAATGTTTCTGGGAGAACCTGCAGTTGCCTCCTTTTTCTGCATCTTGGATGCTTTGGGAGGAGACTGAATGGCATGGAATTAAAATAAGAGGCAGTATAATTTGACAATTTGGACACTGGAGAATGAATTCTGAATTCTCAAAAGGAACTTTTCTTATTTTTTTGCATTCCTAAAACTGCAGGCAATACTGAGGTGTTCCTGAACCAGAATGGTAGTAGAGAGTAGTGACTATAAATAGTTCTTGTTTTATGTAGTGTTTGTAGGGGCGTGTGCGTGTGTGCAGCCATATATGTCTTCTGCAACAGTTATAAATTGCTTTTGTAACATTTTTTTATGAGAAAATTTTGTTTCTGAAATTGACTTCAGCAGCAACAAAGTATCTTTTTTTTCTTGTCCTCAATGTAGCATTCTGAGAAATGTAGCAGGTTACTGAGGAAAAGGGTTGAACTAAGAGAATAAATGATTCTAGATACAAATTTGGCAGGAGTTGTTCCATTTTAATTTGGGCAGAGCTCTGAAAACACATTGGTTTCCAGCGCCCTGGGTATTTAGGCCAAAACAGTGATTTCTCACTCTGTGTTCTCCCTTTCATTGGAAAGAAAACCACAAAAACACCCTATATTTAATACATGCCACCTTATTTTGTTGATTATGGCATTTCTTTTTTAAACAAAATTAAATTTCCATTTACCTTAGAACTTAGTTGCCTTTTTTTTTTTTTTTCTTTAATGGGTTTTCAGGAGCAGGTGTGGTAAGCAGCAAATGCCTGTTCTACATGTGACTCATATGTGGTTTGAAGGGCTGAAAGTTGAAGCAAAAGCAAGTGTTTTTAATTGTAGTTCAGAAATTTGCTAGAAAAATCATCAATGTTTGATCAGGCTTGACTTGAAACCAGTATCTCTGATCTACCAGGCTTGCATGAGTGTTCATGATTCACCCCTTTAAATATAGCAAAGAAGTAAAATCGAGCTTGCTTTTTAGAGCTCATAGAATGTTAATGTACTTGGAGTTATGTAGAATTTCTCTTCATTCCTTGGGGGAGAAAAAGCCTGGTTGCAGAAAGCCTCATACTTCAGAAGCAATAAAATCCCTTTGGCAACATGTGAGTTGTTCCCAAAACAGGCTTTTAGCCTTGTGCTGTGCCGAGAGTGTATCCTGTGCCTTTGGGTTGCAAATCCTATTGCCAAGTTCCTACTGATATTTCACTTGATTCTGGGCTTTGAGTAACATCTCAAGATTGTCCCTGTGAGCATAAATGGATCCATAACCAGCAGAATTATTAGATGTCCTAATGCAGCATTTATATCCTGTATGAGGTGGAATGCTGGGGGTAATGAGATCATCTGGGGCCTCCCAGCAATCCGGTGTTGCAGAACAAACCTGGAGGTCTCATGTAACCCTGCTTGCAGCTTCTGTCCACCCAAACCCTGCAGAATTCTTTCTGCCTGTTACACTCCAAGCGTTCAGGAGCTGAGGAGGAGGCAGCAGGTTAAGGACAAAGTGCGGCCACAGCACCAAAACATTTTGTTTTTCACCCGAGTTCAAGAGTGCATTAAGGGATGACAGGTAGGAGGGTGCAGTACATACTGATTTCAGTCTGATTCTTGAAACTGGCAGTGTTTTCTAAATACTTTACAAGTGCAAGTGATAAGCAAAAGTTATTTGGGGTGCACAGGCCTGACTTGCGCCTTCAGGGCTATGCTTTGGGGACAACGGACTATAAAAAGCACACTTGGATCTCCTTCACCTTTTTCTTCTTTTGGCTAATGGGAAAGAACATGAAGCATGGCACCCACAGCTCTTCTGAAGGGTACTTGAGTGGGTAAAATCATAAGTGTGTGCCACACTTCCCACCAGTGTCCTTTTGTGTGGTATGAAGCCCTTGAAACAAGTGGGATTATATTGCAAACTGAGCTGAAACTGATCTCGGCACTTTGGTGCTTGTGTTCAGGGCAGAAAAAGCTGTGGCTGCATGGATGATATATTGAATAGAATGAACTTTCTTCATTGTGACATTTGGTACAGGATGTAGTTTGGGGGGCTTATGTGCAAGTTTGTGGTTGGGTGATCCAGGAAAAATTCTGCCTTTTCAAAACTCTGTCACAGCACATCAGGTGCAGCTGGCAAAGTGATTGAATGTGGAATGTTTTATCTTTTTGTTATGAATGTTTCTGAGGTGCAGACACTGTGGGTTTGATGCTGCGGGGGTTTTTTTTCCACATTCAGTGTAAAATTTAAAAAAAAAAGCCTGGGGAGGGAGGTGATTTAATCAAGTTTTTCTTTGACCTTTGTGAAAGCTGGGTGGCTGCTAACAGCTGTCACTGTCCTTTCAGCCTGGGAGAAGGTGGATATTCAGTATTTGCACGGGTCTTAATTTGCTGCCCTGATGCTCTGTTGGCCAACTCTTGACAGAAGAAATACTTTGGGGACCGCACCTTTTGTTTATAGGGTGTTCCAGTGTGCTTTACTGTGAAATCACATGGTTTGTGGATATGGTTTTTTTTTTGCTTTTAAAAGGTTATTCCACATGAACTCTGAGGACTTAAAGGCCCCATTGCTTTTTGTAACTTCTAAACCGTTTCCTCTTTTAGTACTCACGCCTCTATTTCATCAGCAGAATTTGTGTTTAAACAGCTGTAATCTTGCATTTCTGCAATTCGCTTGAACGCAGCATTGTTCTTCAATAGCATTTGCAATATATGGGTGTTGCATGTGCTGGTGACTCACATTTGGAAACCATCTGGAATACCTGGGTGATTTTGACCTTGGCGGCACTGCACAGTGTGCCTGCGTAATGGGCACTGTAGTCCAATGTGATCTCAAATGAAAACCCTGTTTCCTTCTGCTTGTAAGAGCATCTGCAGAGCTGGATCTAGGTTTGAT